GTGTGTGTGTGTGTGTGTGTGTGTGTGTGTGTGAATTTAGCATTAGTAACAACCACAATATAGTTTATTATTTCCAGTAATAATTAACTTGCAGATAGTATAAGCACCAGTATTACACGTTATGTATGCAATATGAAGTTAAATGAAATATGGAAACATGATTTAATGCCTGCACGTGTGTGTGTGTGTGTGTGTGTGTGTGTGTGTTAATTTATCAGCAGTAACAACCATATATAGGCAGATACAAGTATTACACAATATAAAATTAAGATGGACGATGATAGCTAGGCCGCGCACATAAATCAACTTATATAATCCATTCATCTATTAAAGCTGACGAAGTACCTACACGTGCATCAAATATTCATGACAGATCCAGCTAAATTTGGTTACACCGCAGCGTATACTGGTTTTGTTGAGCGTATATCGGGATCACAAACTCCTATCTTTTCCAATATGAATTTTAGTTCTACATCATCATCATCAACTGTAGCATACAAAAATAACGAAACTCATCTCTTACATGGCGCATTCCATAACATATTAATACTCCATTCTAAGTTTATTAGAATTTTTAAGCAATAATTATTGACACTTGCAATATATATTGAATAGTCGATCTTGAGCCCACAGTAGGCCTATTAATGTCATTTTTATTACATCCTATATGAAAATCCGAACCAAAACTTGTTGACCCCACCCTCTCCCACTAAAAAGTGCATCTACATTCTCTTTAATTTTCATATGTAACTGTTCACGAATTATACTCAGTCAAAAAACGTCTACACAATGGGAATCTAATCCGTGGAAAAATGCATTCAAGGTGTCAGCATTTTTATGCTAAGAAGATTAGCACTGTGAATTGTACAATATCTATATAAAACCGTTTTAAGAATATATCAATCTGTTCCACAGAAGTCAAGTGGTAAGCAGCGCATGAATTATTTGAATTTAAAGTAACAATACAATAATAATGAATAATACTTGTAATATGTAAAATTAAACATTAGTAATAATGACACTTTATAACCGAATGCGTTTAAGCGCTGCGTACAACGTTAATTAATAACTGAGAATTATTACCACATGAATTATATATAAAATCGGTAACTATAAAAACTAAATAAGAAAACCTTATCAACACATTCAAAACTAGAATATTCATATTCATTCTAATATAATGGATGTTGATGCTCTTAACAACAATGATGTTAAAAGAGTATTGAAATGAAGACTTATTACAAATTAAAAAGAATCAAATTTTATATTGTGCAGAATCGACCACGTGACCGGTGCTAAGACCGGAAGTTTGTCTTTTTATTAATAAAAACCTCATGGCTCATGCAACACCATTATTTCCTAATGACTTATTAATATTCATATATGAAAGTTTATCATATTTCTTTTGAATATCCTAGAATGTACATGGGACATTATCTTCGTGTAAATTTCAAAACAAGTTACAAAATAAAGGAAAAAAATACAGTTACCTGAATAACTGAAAACAGGGAAGAACTTTGGGAATTGGTGTGCGGGTTTAATGTTATGATAATAAAATAGGAAGGTAACATCGGTTGTTGTTTTTTTTTTTTTTTTTTTTTTTTTTATTTACTTTCAGATGAGTATACCCTGAACCCTTCTCAAGCCTAATTCGTACAGTGGGATTTGACTAATATAGTTGGACATCTTCGTCAAGAAGCATTTATACAAAAGACTGCCATCTATTTCGATAGTTGGACATCTTCGTCACGAAAGATTTATGTAAAAGTCTGTCATCTTCTGGATAAAGGATATTTGAGAAGATTATCAGTTCACTCTATAGTTTTAGTTTGTCAAACGTGATGACTTTCGCTTGTTAATCATTGCAAATCATAGCAATTCATGTCTATTAAAAGAATATCCCTTTACAAAGTCGAACAACAAACAACTGAGGCATCTTGCGGCATTCATCGTACTGGTACTTATGTAGATCTTCTGTCCAGCCATGACAATTAATGTGAAGATAGTGTTACAAAACGGCTTGCTTACAATCATCGTATCCTCACTCTTCTTTGGGATGCTTCTTTTAACAGAAATCTATAAAACCGTAATTGTGTCAAGGTTTATTTTACCACAGCCAATCTACAGAAATCATGGCAAGAACGGATTTCAGGAAAGTCCAATGTTTCCAGAAACAAGGATTTCCGACGCATCAAAGGATGCTAAACTTATTTTATATTGGATTCCTAGTTCTTCTGGTTTTAACTACCTCGGGTTGAAAAGATATCACACCTCATTTGAGGGCTTGAAGTGTCCCGTGGGTAACTGTAAGGTGACGGAGGATAAGAGTGCTGCCTATGATACCGATGCCATCATTTTCATGGGTAAAGCGTTAGATAAAAAACCAGAAAAACGGAATCCCAAAACACGCTGGATATGGATCAATCACGAGAGTCCATGTCACTCGAAGTTATACAGTGATTGGACGTTCAACTGGACGATGACTTACAGGATGGACAGCGACATCTACAGTCCATACGGATTCCCCATACTGGACAAAAGACACGATGAAGCCAAGAAAAGGGATTTTCTATCAGTTGCCAAGAGCAAAACTAAATTAGCGGCCTGGGCAGTCAGCAATTGTAATGCTGAAAGTCGACGTATGCAATATGTGAAGGAATTACAGAAATATATGAGCGTGGACATTTATGGGCGTTGCGGGCCATTCAAATGTGGACGCGACAGGGAAGCAAAATGTAAAGATATGTTAAACAAAACTTACAAATTTT